AAATAAATTGAACCTAAATGAAAGGTTTAACAGTATTGTAACTAAAAATTATACATATAGGTGGTCTGCAATCCCGTTCTAACCAATAATTAGATATGATTAGTATAATACCAATTATTGATAATAAAATATTTTGATTAAATAAACTTTATACAGTTTTAAGTAAAACTCAACACATTAAAAATTATCTATGTTATAAACACAAAATTCAGAATTTGTTAACATATGCATCGGGTGTATTATAGCTCCACTTAGAACAACTCTATAAAAAGGATTTTGTGAAATTTGTACGTATAATATTTGTGCTGAATAGACAGAATGACATTTTTTTTAGATATTTTTTACACATTTTAAAAAAAATATACAAATATATAGGGCAAGTTAATAACCAGTTCTAATCAATTTACTGACAATCATTTTACCAAATGCTCATTTAGCCAAACATTACATAGGGTTAGGGTTAAGCATTGGATTATTTGCAGGTACAGTTGACTCTGGCTATACCAAACTGTATATTCTGGAAGGTTTTGTTCGGTATAGAGTGAGTTTGTTATATAAAGATTGCTCTTTTTATACCGAACAGTTCGGTATATATAACCAACCAATAGGAGCATGCTCACGTGATCAAGATCGTGAAAAATTTTCTTTATTTTATACAATACAGTCAAATGTATAACCTCATTAAATGCACACTAACCTTCAGCTCCAACCGTATAAAGCGTTTAATAAAATACCTCATACTCTAAATGCACATTCTTAAAAATTTTGGCTATAGTTCCAAGAGAGGTGCATTTACGGAGGGTTAACTGTATATCATTTTTTAAAGACATTATTTTTACTGTATTATGAAATAATTAATGATATATTAACAATAAAGAAATTGCATTTTAATTAGCATGCTGATTAATTGTTTATTCTTTGATCAGGATACTTTAACAAAGGAGTTTGATTTCATCAATGTTATGCTTTAAAATTTTTGATTATGAACATATACAGTATAAAGATCATATTTAAGGTATGTATCCGGGTTTATAATCTCACTTTAGTTTGGTAAGTATAATAATAATTAACCTAATTTATATGCCTACGATTATTTTTTTTGCGGTAATCTAAATAATGCATGATTTTACAGTGGATAGATTTATGGCTTCAATAATGGGTAGGCGCCGTAGTACCCCTTTCTTCTCATGTAATTAATAAAAAAAATATAACTGTGCAATGCACAGATCGCTGAACCAAGACAAAGTATAACATATAGAATATGTACGCACATAATAATTCTATAAGATAAAAAATGAAACCTATTTTTAAAAAGTTTTTTTTTTTTTTACTTTCTTTTACTCATTATTCTGAAAATAGTAGCATAGATCAACTTGTTTGAGATTATTAATGATATTTAGTCGAACCCGCTTGTGAAGCTTTCTTAAAATTCTAACTTCTTCTTCAACTTCGCCAAACTCTGGTCCCTGTTCATATAAGAACTTTAACGTTTTATTTACACAATTTTCTGCCTCTGTATAAGTGATTTTTTCTTCAATAGATTCTTCCTCAATTTCTTCCTCTTCATCCATATTCTCTTCTTCATCTTCATTTTCAACCATCTCTAAGATTTCCTCTTCAGTAAGCCCGCTTTTAATTTCGTCGTCCTCAGCATGAATATATTCATTCGCAGTAAGGATGTCAAGAGATTCATTTGTTAGTAAGCAGCCAATTAACTCTGAAAGGTTTGATTCATCATCCACGCTGCTAATTTTTTTTTTAATATTAAGTTAGAAATTAAATAAAAATCTATTTAAGTATGTACGTATACAAATTCAGAATCGTTGATCATACTCTATATACATAATACTAATTATACCTATTTTGGTTAAGTTCGGTAGGTTTTTCAGGGTTTTTTTGTGGGAGAATACCAGTTTTTAGCCAGCAGTATCTAATAGTATTTGGTGATACCATAGACCATGCTTCGGCTGAATTAGTTATAGCATCATAAATACTATATGGAGCCATTTATTTTACTACCCCATTTTGTACATCATCATATGCATTAATCCAGTTTTAGATAAAAAGGCTTTTATAGTGACACTTGAACGAATGGATAATTCCTGCATCGCAAGGTTGGAGAACCGGAGTTGTATGTGCTGGAAGAAATTCCACTCGTACACATTTTAGTTTTGCTTTTGTTTTATCAAGAACAACATGTACTGGTGCTTGGTCAACTAAAAGTATGATTTTTCGATTTCTTTGGTTCATTTGACGGTTAAGCTTGAGAAGGAGATCATTGAAGATAGTCATTTGCATCCAAGCCTTTTTGTTCCAATAATAATGAACAGGAAGATTTTTATAGTTAATATTTCGCAAGGCATGTGGTCTTTGAGAAGTGTGAATAAGGACAAGTTTCATTTTTTCAGTTCCACTCGAATTTGTAACACATAATATTGACACACGTGCCTTTTTTTTTTTGTGCCCTGCCAATTTTGAATGAGCCAAAGTGCGAGAAGGTTCCATTTTCCAGTAAAGCCCAGTTTCATCTGCGTTCCAAATATCTTCAATGTCGTAGGACTGAAGTAAATTTTGTAAAACAAGCCGGTCTCTTTCTATTTCCTCTGGAGGAGGCACATTTGCAGATTCGCCTCTTTTTTAAACTGACGAAGCCCATGACGTTTTTTAAACCCAGTAAGCCAACCATCCGAATGGTGAAAATCGTTAATAAGAAAATGGTCTGTAAAAAACCT